AGTGAATGCGTTTATGTTGTTGATGATGATGATAGTGAGGCGCTGAATTTTTTTTCAGTTTCAATAATATTGACGATTATAATAGGGAAATATTCAATACATCTCGGCRCGCCAAGAATCGCAACAAAGTTCAGGACGCATGGAGTGATTCTAGCCGCAAAGTAATAGTAGCAAATCAGGAGAATTAACGAGCTCACATTCTAAATTATTCGGCACATAGATCTAAGTAATTATCGGAAATCTTTATATCACAACGCAGAATTCAAAAGGCAATCAGTTTATTTCATAACATCAATAGCTGTTAGATTATATTGAATCTTCAAATTTAAGATCTTTATATCATGGACACTATGTAGCAAATACGAATCACGGAATGAAAGTAAGGAATTCTTATGAAAACCTCTTCGCAAGCATTGCTTCTTCTTCTAGTTCGGCTTCATCTTCTATCTTATACACGATAACTTCTTCGTTGGTAGAAACTGGTTCTAACTCTTCAGGATTGACAAAGAGAGCGTCCAAAGGACTTTCCACCATTTGGAAAGGTGTCAAAGCTTTAATAAAAGTTTACTGATTTCATTCTTTTCACGATAACGCGTTAAAACATCAAATAAACTTCTGGTAATCGAACAAGTAATGTATAGTCAATACGACGCTAACTTGAATGGGTTGAGAAACCGCTGTAATAATGATAATAATCAATATTTGTATAGCGCCTATCCAAATCTCCTCTAGGCGTTTTAAACAAAAAGAAAAACCACAAACTGTGGTAGGCTGTGAGCTTTGCTTGGCGCCTGTGGCTGCCGCTACACAACCCACATACCACAGGGAAAAAATATAACATTTGATAAATAAATGATACGAAAATAAAACAAATAAACACACACGCACGACGAAACCACGACTAAAAGTCAGACTGTTGTATCGGGTAACAATCCCCTACTCTTACGAAAAATACAACAGGATTTTTTACGTCCACTTTATCGGGGGTCAAGTGCAAGCAGACGGGACCTCCGGTTTTACGTCATTATCCGAGAAGACGCTTGCTTGATGGCTGTTGGCTCCTACGAGCTCCTTCACCCTTTGACAGGTCTTATTTTTAATCCTGCTGGGTGTCAAGCCACCCTCCTCACTGGATAGCCAGTGGGGGAGCCGGTTTAGACGCCGACGACCCGTCCATGTGGCAGGTAGTACTGGGTTACATGGTACCAGTAGCAGTAGCAGTAGGGTTACAAGATTTCCCGTACAGACCTCCCGCTCGGTTGATAAGAGTTTTATTATATGACCACTTTTCATTGAAAAGGACAAAATGTTTTCGCCGTAACATTAATATGCGATCGGACCGGTTAATACCGGAGAATCTAGACCGCGATGCGATCTATCCAATCAGATTGCTCGATTTGCTAGTGTCCAGGCTCTAAGATTCACGGTCATATAATAAAAGACGTTATTAAGATAAGCTTATTTTATGCTCACCTTATTAACCAGTTTTCAAGTCTGTTTTTTGGTCTTGATTTGCCCTCAATCTCCAGATTTTCGATTTCAACGAAAGACATCCGAGGCAAATTTCACTAAACTTGATATTGTATTAGATTATCTGTAGTTGTCTTTCGTTGTTTTTTTTTTTAAGTAAAAGAGATTCAAAGCCTAAAACTGTCGGCCTTGGAAAACTTTGTCGAAGAATCTTCCAAGAACAAAAGTAGCCCATGGAGGTGGTGGTGAGTTGTGTACAAAATTCCTAAGTGGGAGAGTATACTCGCGCAAAGAAAACGATGTAGTGCATTTCGATTCGATTTCACTGCATGGTTTTTATTATGGGAGAAATTATCTTCATCTCGAATGAAAAATAATTGAAGATTTTTTCCCCGATCTTATTTTTACCTTTCAGTTTCATTCAAATTGTTGTCCCTTTGACTTCCGTATCGGGAGCTCCTCTTTTAGGCAGTGCCTAAATATATATATTATTATTACATCATTTGGCATAAATTTGCATACCAAACGACTACCATATTTGTGTCGGGTACAGGACCTGATTGTTCTTTTGACCTGTTGGTCCAACTCGGTTGGTAGACGAGTAATTGCCTCACTTAAAAACATCAAGAAATCATGTCAACCGAGGTAAAAATATGTCCACAAAGCCTTAATTTCGGCGGGAAAGAACGAAAATGGATTCGTCCTGACGTCGTTTCAAAGTGTACTTGGCATTTAGGAGCAAAACTCTCTGACTCTCCTCACTATCACGCAAAATCCAGGTACAAAATCACCAGTAATAAATAACTCAAAAAGATATTAAATTTCTCTATTCGTTCGTTTATACATAGTTGTTATCCAACTTAATTTTAGGGAGCCTTCTTCGAAGATAATGCCAAATATCTTACAAAAGATTGGCGATACTCCTCTCGTGCGGATAAACAACATTGGCAAATCCTGTGGACTCAAGTGTGAATTGCGTAAGATTTAAGCAAAATTACTGATCATATTATTCTTCTTCTTGGACGAAAAGACATAAATTGTAATATTAAAGAATATTGGTCATAATGTTAGTTGTCTTTTTATTCGTTGTTGGGTGTTTTTAGTGGCGAAATGTGAGTATTTTAACGCGGGAGGTTCAGTGAAGGACCGAATTGGTCTGCGAATGATCGAAGACGCGGAGAGAGAAGGAACGCTTAAACCTGGAGATACATTGATTGAACCTACCTCTGGAAATACAGGTAAGAATATTGATTGGCGACAAAAAAAGTTTTGTTATAAGATATTTGAGTGTGTATTAAATTCAAGAGCCAATAACTAGGGCACTATTTTATATGTACACGTGTTTATTGTTAGTGAAATGTTGGGGGTTTGTCAGAGGCATGGCCATTGTGTTGGTTCACCACGGGATAAAATAAAATACATTCTAAGAATTATTTTATTATACAGTACCACAGAAAAAATTTAATCTGTTTCGTATCATGCTAAAATTGATGATATTATATCCCTTCTTATTTTCCCCCCCATTTTTTGTAGGTATTGGCCTTGCTCTAGCTTCAGCTGTGAAGGGATATCGTTGTATCATCGTCATGCCAGAAAAAATGAGTAAAGAAAAGGTGTTAGCAACTTCCCTTAATATGGCAACTCTCTTCTCCCAGTTAAAATTGTGCATAGTTCCATAGTTACTACCGATCTCACCGAACTGTGGGGACACGTCAAAATTTTGTCTCGCTACCAAAACCTAATTCGTTCACTGACAACACCTACCTTTGTCACTGTCTCTGATCTAGCACATTGCCAGTAAGGTATTCACTGTAATACATGTAGCAAAAATAGACATGACAGTAGACGAATTAGGGTGTGATAGTTAGACAAATTTTTGACCTGTCACCACAGTTCGGTGAGACCTGTAGCATTTTTTGATGCTTTCTTATTTATCATCTAGTATAAATAAGAAAAAAAGGCAATTTCCTTTTCAATAAACGATTAATAAACTTAACTGTATCTGTGTGGAAATATTTATTTGCATAGTTTGTGATCATCCAATGAAAGTTTTCACTTTCAAAATGTTCATACATGAAAATAACAAGGAAATGTTTATTTTTAGCAATACTTGCTTTGGTTCATTGTGCACGGTCAGTACACGTGATGGCACGATTCAACATCAAAGGCAAAACAATGGCTTTGTTCTATTGAGTTTCCAAATCATTCCACTCCATTAACTATGATAGTTCTGACTCCCCAAGTGTCACTCTGATCGCCAAAAGTTTAGTAATTTATTTATGTCTTTCTAAGGTTGATGTGCTGAGAGCTCTTGGTGCTGAGATTGTCAGGACGCCCACAGAAGCCAAGTTTGATTCACCAGGTAATTAATTATTTATAGTTTAATACATGATCTAGACGACACGACTGGAAAGGAGTATTTGAAAATAACAGATGTGAAAACCATATGAAATACATGTGAAATTTTTACATGTATTTCACTTGTCCTTTTCACATATGCACATGGGCGGATCCAGCCAAAATTTTAGGGGGGGGGGGGGCTAATTGAGTTTCTTCCATCAACAGAACGGAAAACATTATGAAAAAGCATCAGTTCTTTTTCTGCTGAAGGGGTGAAGGGGGCTTCAGCCCCCCTTTGCCCCCCCCGGATCCGCCCTTGATGCATGTGAATAAAAACATGTAAATAACAGTGTTATGACCAGGAATTTCTTTCAGGGGGTCAAAGAGCCCACCAATCCAAAATTTAGGGACCATTTAGAAAACTGGATGGGCCATTTCCAAAATGTTAAAACAAAGAATAATAATGTTTTTTGCCAGTGACTCTGTTGCAAATCTAAAACAATGTAAGACAGTTTTTTATTAGTAATGATAGTACTGACAATACACTTGCGCTGGGCAGCCATACTTGAGCCTCCAATAAAAAAGTCATTTAACGTAGACTAGTCCCAGACCTCTTGGCGAGTTAAATACAAGATGGCGGCTATGTTCCATTTGTGTCGTTTCATGTGGACTTTCACCTTGTTTATTGACAATATAATGTGACTTTTATTATTCCAAAAGTACTCTAAATCTTTTGAAATTATCAGGAGGTATTCCTTGGATAATTCATGCGCCCTTGGGGGTGCACAGAGTTAAAATTTGTGCGACATTACTGTTTTTTTATGCACGATTCCTGCAATGGCACGGCCTGGTAAGAACACTGAAATAAGGCCTAGGGCTAACATCGAACTTTTCATGCACCGAACTTAATAACGTCAAAGAATGCCGCCTCATTATCACCTGATATCCATTGTTCTTAATGAGTTTGGTGCATGGAAAGTTCGACATTTGCCCTAGGCCTAACATACGAAAAAACATGTGAAATGGGGTGGTCCTTTTTACATCCCAAAAGCATGTGAAAAAATGTGAAATTTTGAAAAGACTAATGTGGATGGAAGCAGGTGAAAAGTATACATATTTCACATATGACCATGTGAAAAACGTGAAACTTTTGAGAAATAGTATGTTTCACGTACTATTAACCATGTGAAACTGGCTCTTTTCAGATACTAAAATCATATGAAAAAATATTAATAATGTGAAACTGGTTCTTTTCATATTCTTTTCACAATAAATTATGTGAAAGAAAGTGAAATTGATAATTGATATCATCAATTTCTTAATGATGCGAAATTTATATAATTACAAATATATGGGCATATATATAGAAAGAGCTAAGTATAAGAGAGATTATGGAAAATTTTAAAAAAATACAAGGAAAAATGGAATCTATCAAAATATTTATTTTATTTTTCTCCATTCATATCAAATAAAAAGCTAGTCAGTTTTAGATCTAGATCTCAAATGTCAAAACTAGAAATAAGTTAAATTGTATATGAAATATAAATAATTATATAAATTTCTCAATATTTTTTAAACAGAAATGACCTTTAAATAAATTAAAATCTAATTTGTTCTAAATCTAGGAAATTAATATAATTTCTTTAAAATATATTTGAAACATGAAATTCCATTTCACATGCTTAAAGCTATTGATAGATTACTTTCACATACATGTGATATCTGCGATCAGATTTTCACAGGATTTTCACATGGTTAGAATAGTGAATGTGAAGATATAAACATTGCATCACACCCAGTTTCACATGTTCTTGATAAATTTCCCTTTTTTCACATGCCATTTCACACACTGGGAAAAAATTCATATAATAATTTCACATGCTTTTTCACATGGCTTAACTTTTCACATGTTTTTCAAATGGTTTTCACATCTATTTCACATACTCCTTTCAAGTAATGTGATGAGCCAATATTTCAGCTCTCTGGGCTTTTGTCCTTCACCAGTTAGATCATCCATGGTCTTTGTTAATATTTTTTATTGAAGTCAGAATTAATTCTAGATATATGAGACTTTGGCTTGTTGTCCTGGTATCCATCTGTCAAGCTGTATAGTTCTGGAAAATATCCACACCCCCACCACGGAGGAGACTTTTTAAAAGGATCACCCCACCCCTAGGAACTTCCAATTTTCTTCCATACTGTATGAAGTACTCTTTAATGTTGTTCTTTAGCTTACCCCCCTCCCCTACAGAATTTCCCATTTCCTCTGTGGGTAGCTAGGGTATGGATATTTTTCTGTAACTAAGCAATCTGTTATGTGTGGGTCAAAGCAAATTCAAACAGCAGTATCCCAATCAGGAGCAAACTAATTGACATTATCTTTCTTTATGCTTGCCCCTGGAGGAGAAGGGGTGTGGATTTGTCAGCTAATTGATTAAGAATTTAAAAAACAAAGAAGGTACAGTATTGGGGTAGGGGAAGGGAATTTTTTGGCTCTTTTTTTAATGTTTTGCTTTAACCTTTCGAATGGATAGATTTCTTACGCTACATGAAAAATTAAATAACAAACCTTGAATAAAAAAATCTCAACATCCAATAAATTGAAAATATTTTTACTGCTTGATAATATTTTAAAGAAATTCTATTTTTTTCTGAGCAGTACAGCACATCCAAAAACCATTGTTATTTTTGCTGTTTCTAGAATCCCACATTGGAGTTGCTCAAAGACTTAATCAAGAAATACCCAACTCTCACATCCTTGACCAGTATCGTAACCCTGGCAACCCTCTGGCTCATTATGACAGCACAGCCGAAGAGATTGCCTTTCAGTGTGATGGTGAGAAAATCTTCAACTATTAATTAACTTCAAAATATATAACTTGTCTTTAAAAACTGCCCTAGACCTTAAAGTCATGAAATCTGAACTTCTCAAAAATATATCCTTAACACACCAAAGATTTTGTCGAAGGATGGGGGGAGGGGGCTAGATGCCCAGGCAAATTCGGGAGGGGTGGGAGGTCAAACAGCGAAATAAACTCTTCTAGAGCCACACGTAAGAATGATCAATGTTTCATTCATACTTACTTAATTAGTTCATGTATTCAAACATTTCTACCAATCAGAGCATGTGTAGTATCTCAAATATTTCATAAATTCTGATATAGTACATTTTTCCAGGAAAGATTGACATGGTGGTACTGGGTGCAGGTACAGGTGGTACCATTACTGGTGTTGCCAGGAATCTGAAGACCAAATGCCCAAACATCAAGGTATAAAACATGAAAGAGATCAAGGAACACCTTCGCTCCATCCTCCTTTTCCTCCATTCCCATACCAAATTAAATGTGTTGACATTTTCAGGTTGTTGGTGTTGACCCTTTTGGCTCCATCCTTGCTGAACCAGAGAAATTGAATGATACTGATGTAACAACATATCATGTAAGAATCTTACTACTGTTTTTATTGATATAAATCACAAACTAAAGAGAACTATTAAAGAGAAGTTAAAAAAAGTGTGTGAGGTGATGGGCAATCAAATTATGAATCTTGACAGTACAGCGGATTAAGTTATAATGCTCTAGTCAACTTATTGTCCTGGCTTTTAGGATAGCTCTATATTTATACTATTTGGTTCTGCTTGATGTTATATGAAAGCTGCTTTAGATGTACATATTATCAATATTTTATGTAATGTATCTGCCTTTGTTAACACAGGTTGAGGGTATTGGGTATGACTTTGTTCCAACTGTTCTGGACCGATCAGTTGTTGATGAATGGTTCAAGGTTGGTGACAAGGAAGCCTTTTCTATGGCCAGGCGATTGATCCGAGATGAAGGACTGCTGTGTGGTAAGTCAATAAACTAAAAAAAAACTGTTTGTAATCCACATTCATATCAGTGCAGGGTTATATTCTTTGCTTGTTTTGAATCTGTTTTAGGAGGTTCAAGTGGGTCTGCAATGGTGGCTGCTCTTCAGGCTGCAAAGAGTCTTGGTGAAGGTCAGCGTTGTGTGGTTATACTGCCTGATTCAATCAGAAACTACATGTAAGTTATTCAAATATACTACTCTTCCCAGTAGACCGAGGTAGTTGTGACTTTTTAATTGCCTTCGTAGCGTCTGTTATGTTATCCGCAAGTACATTTCAAATCGACCACGTGATGCCAAAGTGGTACCACAAGGACAAGTTTTTTACACCA